GGGTTGTGGTCAGAATACAAGTACTTAGATTTATTTGATTATTTTGGGTTTAGTACAAGTTTTACAGTTTATCAGAATAGTCTGATAAACTGGGTTTTAGGGTTTTGCTGGTTTTACAGCACATGACTAATGACTCATTTTAAGAGTCATTCATTTTAGGATTACTGTTTATAATTATTAATAAATGAACGTCCCCCTCCCTCCTCAGGGAGGGAGAACGTTGAGATACAGTTATCTAGCGTATACTTACTACAATCTCAGCCTCACAGTCTCCGAGTCTCAGCCTCTCAGGCCACATCCCAAAGTCAAGCCAATATGCCACAACGCAGAAGGGAGCTGTCCCCCAGCATCCACGCCACAGTACACACCGATTCAGTAAGCATAATGCATTTTTCAAGAAAATCACGAGTCTTTTTACCTGCGAAATTGTGATGCCTTGATGCCTGTCCCCGTACAGAAGATTATCCACGCCAGTCGTGAAGCCTGTCACTGTACAGGAGATCGTCTACTCTTCAGAAAAATCACCGTTTTCAACAATTTTCATCGAGACGATACTCAACAGCACCAATTCGTAAACGTCTTCGACAAATATACATTGGTTCAACGCTTATCGCCCAATCCATTTACAGAGTCAACAATTTCACAATCCAGGTCTTAAGTCTTCAGTCTTCATTAGTCTTTAGTTTCCAATTTTCAGCCTTCAGATTTCAGCCCTTGTTGATTGTAAAATTGAGGGGGAGTGAGAGACTACAGGTCTCAGGCCAGATTTTACAGCAAGAAACTATCTTTGATTTATGGAAGTCATCAGAATTAGCTCACTCCCGAGAGCTAAGTCATCAGAGTTAGCTCACTCCCGAGAGCTAATCAAGTTGCTCAAGTTACTCTCAAGAGTTGAGTTATTACTTAACCGACTTCCGAGAGCAAATTTAGTTTCTCAACCGATTCCCGAGAGTGGATTAAGCCTGTCAACCACAACATATTAATAATAGCTGCGGTTCTATGTGAGTCACAACCTATGCGGAAAGACATCATGTGATCAGCGTGAGATTTAGTTGCAGAGAAGTTGAAATAGAAAAGCATCGAAGTGTTAAAGTGTTCCGCATAAGGTTTCTCATACTGACCATATGAGGTTTTACCCTGGTCAGCCCAAGCGGCTGAACACTAGATATAAAACCAAAGGTGAGGTCAGAAATAAATACATACATTTGCACTTTATTTAAAGTCTACTACATTGTACTCTAACAAATAAATATAGCTGACGGGACATTCCCAATGGCACTTCTGACTGAGTTCACTTATTTCAGACTTAACACTCTTTACTAAGCGTTACTCTGTTTTGACCATATGCCTATGGTCCTGCTGAAGAATTTCATGCTGATCTTCAAGGTCCTATGTACACCTGAAGATCGCTATGGAAATAAACATGCTCTTAATTTCATATGTGATGGCACTAATTATGGTTTACACTCTGTGCCCAAAAACAAGAAAAACATGGACGACAAAGTCAAAACATTGCTGGTTCAAATTCCTCCCCACTATAAACTTTATCAACTTACTGCTGATGGTGACAGTGTTTTTCAATCAGGAAATACAAGAGCTACGCTAGTATCCCGTGGATTGGCTTTACGTAGCACACTAGCATACACACCTCAAGTGGACCGTTCACACAGCACACTCAATCAACTCACTAGGACACTCTTAATTGACTGCTAACAACCTGTTTCACTATGGTCACACACAAAAAAGACTACTCTGATATAATCCGTAACGAAAACTTAGCTACTTCTGATCAACTCAACTCGTCTCCTGACAAATGGCATCAAAAACTGTTCTTCGCTTTTCTCGTGGCCGCTATGGTGGTGTGGTTATGTTTAAATTGGAAGACAAAGCCTTAGAGAAAGCAAACAAATATGGTCCGCAAGTTGGATATGGTGTTCTGCTAGGTCGTGCTCCACACCCACTGACACAAGGCTAGTTCAAATTTTGCTACCCACTGTCTCATCAACACACGCAATATCAAGTACATCTCGGTTGAAACATCTCAATGGAATGCTCCTGGGAAATGTGCTACTATATGCTCTAACCCTACTGGTTACACTATTCCTGAGGACTGGTACAATCTCTCTATCAACACTACCGCCCCAACCCTTGCTTCACCACAAACAGTCCTTTTTGTTGGAACTCATTCACGTCATGACAGTTACACAACACCAACCAGATCCTATCGACATGCAGTCACACAACCTCGTGCTGTTTTTACACTGAACTACGCAACTTACCTCTCACTCGGCAAATACCTGACCGTGACTCCCTTCTTGTTCAGATGGGAGGACTACAAATAATAAACAGAAGCCAGTGCCTACAAATGATCCCGTTAAACTCCAACGATGGATGAAGAGATTAGGCAGACTCACGAATCAGGAGTACGCGGGCAAACGGTTGGAAGTATGTGAGAATTACTTAGATCACAAGCATATAGTTAAACGTGGCCCGAAGCAAACAAAACTAACGGAAGATGCAATTACGATGACTGTAGACGAATGGAATAAACAACTAGCCAGACTGGAACAATAGAAAGTCCATGATGTAGAACAATATATCATCAACACTATGTTGATTGAATCAGATATGAAAGTTAAGGAAAATTCATTACCCAGACATAGTAGGCGAACAAACACCCTACACTACTAAGTGAAGCAAAACCTATCAATAGTGTTTCACAAGGCACTAGAACACGTATAGAGAAGGAACTTGACGCCGTACGCCGTAAAGAAGATGCGTGATTCCCTTACTGCAGCGCTATGTAAGGCCAGAGCACAGATACACGATCTGAAGAATACCACTAAGACCTTACGTTGTGACTTAGATTTTGCTACGGATACGATGGAGGAAGAGAATGAAATGAACGAAGTGGCCTCTGAAGTGCAAGAGAGTATCGAAAGTTGTTTACGAGCAACTGCATCAAGCTTCAAGGCGATGTACGCGAATTACATCAAAGTACAATACCTAGACTGTTTTACAAGAGGAAGAGAATGAGATGAACAAAGTGGCCGCTGAAGTGCAAGAGAGTATCGAAAGTTGTTTGCGAGCAACTGCTTCAAACTTCAAGGCGATGTACGCGAACTACATCAAAGTATAATACCTATACTGTTTTACAAATACATTACTGGTTCGCATAACCTAACTCGTTTATGGACAGGATTTCAAGGCTCCGAAGCGGACGTAAAATTGGTAGAATTAGTAATGGATGAACTTGGAAAGCATAATCCTGAACGTCAAAGTTTGTCCTTTGAGAACGCAGTGTCCATGTGGTTTGTAAAGGTCCGTGAAGTTTTGGGAGGAGAAGTGCTGCAATATTTTTTTTGGTTTAGGGTGTGCACAAACAGTATCCTACATATGCCATGATGTGAACGATATACTCGATGAGGTTTTTAAGCGACCCGCTTATGATCCTATGGCAAGATTCAATGAGAAGCTTGTTGATAATTAGCATGTGCCGTGTGTTCAAGAAATTGAATAGTACAGTAAAACTGCATTGGCCATAGATGTGACAGAATTTCTTCTAAATACACCTAGCAATCTAGACATATAAAGAGCTACATGATCAGCCCACAAACACCACAACACACTTAAGATTTTAGTTGGTATACCTGCCTTAGGGCACATATGCTTTGTATCAGTAGTGCATGGAGGAAGAATTAGCGATCGAGTACTATGTGAGTTATCCGAAGAAGCGTTATCGTACAGTCAGCCTAGAAGAGACCGACCTTTTAACAGAAATCTACGTGACACTGGCACGTTTGGCTTCGGAAGTCCAATACCACTCACTTTCTACGTTGGATAAGGCCAACCAGCCTTCAGAGTGAATTTCTGATCGGGATGGACACTTGAGGACGCTGACACATGTGCAAAAGGGGGCACGGAAATTATTCATCTCATTCATGCACAACTCTGCCAACTTCGTGAATTTTCATTGGCGAATTTTGATACAACTCGACTATTGCCAATGACACGGTCCAAACGGCATCGAGTACTGATTATCTTGAGCAACAGGTAGCGCCAACATCGCGACCGCAATGGGCTCCTCAACACCCAACGCAAGTAAAGACGACACCAACTGGCCAGTTACATAACAGTGTGACGGACGAAATGAAGCAACTCAGCGCTGTAAAACGCAAAATTGGCCGCACGAAGCCGATCCCTTTAGTGATAACGACAATGTGCACGTTGCTCGCAGAGAGCGTATGTTGAAACACGCTCCAAATCGAGCACAAAAAAAATCCGACACCTGATGAGATGCGCCGACCGACTTCGATGATTTGAGTCGTACTCAGGAATCGACAACTGTGGTAAAATCTCCTTGTAGATATCTTTTAGAACCAGCGGATTTGCACTTTGCAATGGACACTCCCCAGAATTTGTCGTCGTCGGCAAGGCGTTCCTTCTTCGAAGCGTTTCGCATAGTTATGAAATACACGGCAACAGCTTAATCAAGGTCAAGTAGCAATGTATTTATTTCGTGACAAGCCACAACGCTATTATCGTCTACACTCATCAGAAGAGATGAAAGAGAATTGTCAGGGCACGCAAATCTACCTGTTGATACGATTGCATATCGCAAACCTTTCCCTGTTCATCACGATCGTTGCTTAGAGGACCCACAAGATATGAAACGATGTAAGCTATCTGTACCCTCAGAGTCGTGCATCACTGAGTTTACAGCGACAGATATGAAGATGCAGGTCTTTCATCTTGCCCAACTTATGATGCAAGCAGAGGCTTAGGGGCGCATAGAAGATGCGTGCAGGTTGCAGGGTCTAATTCGTACGTCTAACGAGACTGTGACGGCATTCTCAGTGACGCTCGACAAAAGGACACCAAAAGAACGACCACCTAGTCCACAGGGCAGCTAGCATAAAGATAACCCACAGAATACAGCTGCATGCGTTTATTTTAGACTAACATAAGAGGGCGAAATCTCACAGGTTAGATCCGATTCATATACAGATGGGTTTACATAGGGCACTACAGAAGGAAGGGGCACCTATGGCGGTATTAGACTTTATTGTGGAGAACGAGCAAAAATTGCAGTCGATTTTGTTTCAGGAGGTCACTGCTTTTATCGTCCATATACCCAAACAGGACTTGGAGAATAATGCATACAGAAATAAGTTGGCATGCACGAAGTTTAAGCCGTCAGTACCACTTGAGACACAGATTCGTGATTTTGAACGCAAATTTGAACTTAAGGAGATGCGACAGAATGAGAATTCGTTGCTGGCTTATCGCAATAATGTGCTTAACCTGATACGACAACATGTGGGAGGTGCGTACTACCGAGATACTCTTTTAGGGTTTAGTATGCAGCCAAATTGGCGAGACTACTCGTCTGAACAGATGCGCGACGTATTCCGGGTGGATATTGACAAGGCAGAAGAATATCGTCGGGGAAATGGGTCGCGACCGCAACAGGTTCCGGGAGGTTTGCGTTTACGATCACACTGGCGTACGGATGCGAACACACGAGCTCCCACACGCGCCACCAACATCGAATCCGCGAGTTCGTTGTCGACCGTGTGAGCAGAACCTTCCTCCGGACATGCGAACCGCTGTCCTAAACATCAGCGAGCATTTGTATCATCCAACATTGGACCCCCGTACAGAATCTGGCGGGGCTACTACACAACGTATGTCTGGTATAAGCACATGTATGAGGGCGTCACAAGCATCAGGCCACAATTGCCGCGCTCGCGTTAGCTTAGTAGACGGTGATCAAGTACCTGGCCAACTGAGAGACTACAGAAGTAGACGTATTTCTATATATGTTGATAGCGTTTTACGTCGTCAGCCCGAGAGGAATTTGGGACTTGTTCTCAAATTAATATACGTATAGGTGGGTCAGCCCGAGAGAACGTAAGAGCAATTTGATACCTCTTCTCAGATTATTCTATTTATAGGACACGGGCAACCGGCTAGCCGAGAGCCGAGGTCCGAGACTGAGTGTAGTAACAGAGAATATGATATATTTATTTCTAGAAAATATATCCGAGTGCTAAAGTGTTCTGCATAAGGTTTCTCATACTGATCATATGAGTTTTTACCCTGACCAACCCAAGCGGTTGAGCACTAGTACAAACACCATCAGTACATAACTGAGGGTAAGATCATATATAAATTCATTCGAACGCACCATACTTTAGATACGCTTGCACTTTACTTCTAGTCGCACGCTAACATCAACCACCAGCCGAGATGGGGAGACTGAAGTGATGCATATTCATGACTTGGTCGACGAGTCGTATGTGCAGAGTGACGATGAGTTGATATAAGACGAGCAGGCATCAGAAGGTTGGGACGCAAGAACAGATTCGGAGTAAAATACTCGGGTGTCTGACGTGAACATGTGCAAGTCATTTGGTCGTACGGCAACAAGAATATTTGCAGCAAACGATAAATTATTTTCTGCCGACAACCGTGTAAGTGAACGGCCATGGCATGCGCACCCTTATTGCCACGGAGGCAAACCGTTCATTCATCACTCAGGCATCCGCGGATAAGGCTAAACTATCCGTTACGCCACCAGCTAACAATAGCTATATTTATGTGGCGGACAAAGCCTTCCGGACTCCACGCTTGGGGAAAACGCACTCAACAAAGGTCCAATACGGGACAACCACTACAGGGGGTTGTACGTTTGAACTTATGAACTTACTAGATAACATTGATACAATACTGGGTATGCCAGAGCAAATGACGAGCCTACTTCGGTGACAGCAATCGATATTAGAGAAATATGAACGGCGTTTGCGTCGACTGCGACGAGGGAACATACCTTCATCACCGGACAACATCGAGTTCCGCATTAGAGAAGCCGACGATGCCCGTCATGGGTTTGGGTACACATCATCGGATCAGGATGAAGGCGATACACAACAGGAAACGATATCTCGTCAAAACTTTGCAAAGGAACAACGTAGAGCTACACGGAACCCTCACGGGAGGGAGGCACTGGATAATCGACGTGACAACATGGACACGTCCTTGCAAGCACAACGTCAGAGCCAACAATTTGTACGAGAAGCTATGAATGATAGTCTACCGTCACGCAGGCTGCTTGAATGCACACCGTCGAGTCAAGCCACGTCATCGGAGAAGCGTCGACGCTTGGCTCAGCAGGCCAAACCTCCTACACCAGACAGCATAGCGACGGACCGCCAAGCCTTGCACGCACGTATGCTCAAATTGTCGATGGAATTATGTAGTGCAGTGGAAGCCAACAACTTGCCACGAGCGGAGGCACTAAGAGGTGTACTCGAGACATTAAGAGCAACCCATGACTCACGACCGGCGAACAAACAGGAACCACGGGAACCACGTAGTTGGCCGGAATGGCCCTCGAACCGGTATAACCTCAGCAACATTATGGAGCGCGACACTAAAGGGGTATTGCGAGAAGCCCTTAAGAATGCGCAGATTTCGGGTCTCGACGAAGCATGGAGTCATCGTTGGTTTTATAAGGTGTTAAGTCACTTTAAAGCCGGACAATCTACACTTGATTATTTAAAATCTAATCACCAACGTTTAGTTGCATGGACACCAGAACTCCAAATAACACAAATCTGTTCACACGAGACTCAGGCTACGGTGGACCCCACATTTCGAAAATTAGCAACGGGACACCAGAAACTTAGTAATGTTCCAGTGATGGAACAGATGACATACCTTATGGAGAATCATCGTCGGGCACACGAGCGTTGCCAGACCGATGTAGATTTTAAGCAAAATTTGCTCAACCACTGCATAGTTCAATTGTTGGAGGACATCTTAGGATCCCGGACATTTGGGCGCACGTTACAGTTACATCCAAAGTGGCAACTCATGGAGACTCATGAATTACTACAGCTGCTCAGTCCGGATATCCAGGAGGCCCAGATTCGTTTGACTCCACGTTTAGTCAATCGTCGAGGTCACAATGGGGACTCAACCCGGGGGGAGACGACGAATAGTAGACCTAGCCCGCACATAGTCCAGCGTCAGCAGCAACAATGGCAACAACGCCCGACTCCAACAACTAACCTAACGACGTGCAACGGTTGCCGCGCACAAGCACCTCCAGGGTTGCGACATATACCGCGCTGCCATCACTACCGAGCGGCCCAACATGGGGGGCAGGACGTGAAGACACGGGCGTCAGATACTGGTCAGCAGCAGAGAGAGGTGACTAAGGGACAGCGATCTACGCCACCACAGGGGTCCGTGCACCCACCACCACAATACCCAAGCCGACAGTCGACCTCAAATACGACGGCACCGCAGGTTAATGTGCTCACACAGGAGGAGGGTCCGGGATACGATAGCCAGTCGGCCACAGAGTTACATATACACTCCATCGTAACCAATGACTTCGAGCAGGCCGTGGATACACAACCGGACACAACGCAGCCCCAATGGACCCCGATAACAGAGCAACATTGAGACCTCAGGGTGTCCGATGATGATGTAGCATTTACGTTCACGCATCCATTGAAGACAGTGATAGCAATAAAAGACCTACTGCTGACCTCCGACAACCGTGTCTATATACAATTGCAGGGGAATGGTCGTACATTCCGAGCGTTGATAGATACAGGTGCGAACCGTAGTTGCATTGCACGAGCATCCGCAGACCTCTTAGGACGACCAATTACACCAGCACCCAGTGAATCATTTATATATTTGGCGGATAAAGCGGCACGCACTCCTCGCCTGGGGACAACAGAAGTGCTACCGATACGTTATGGCTCAGAGATCATCAATGGATCGTTCGAGTTGATGAATCTCCCTGACAGCATCGACATTATACTCGGGCTGGACATGATGACGGACCTTGGGTTATGTATTGGCGGAATTCAGTCACCACTCCCACCTATCGACCCAACGGAACTAGATAAACTCCTTACACCCATGGCTCGGTGCCAAGCCCCCAATGCCATCGAACCCGACGGCGTACGGACAAGGCTGGCCGCAGTGTTGGAAGCGAACGCCGACATTACAGACAATGCACGTTGCGGCTTAGAGGGGAGTGAAGTGACAATACCGGTAACACGCGAGCAGGCTAGGAGCATGAGACGATCGATATGCAACTTTGTATCCGAGCGATGGTTACCGTATGTCGATGAACAAGTACAGAAGTGGTTGAAGGACCTAGTGATTACGAAGCGGACCACTCCCACGACTGTTAATCTTCCCTTACTCGCAGTTCCAACGTTTGATAGTGAGGGTAATGTGTGAAGTAGGTACGGGGATGTCTGGACATGCGAGCAGTCAACGCATTGATTCCAGGAGACCAGTTCTTGATACCGAAGGTGAATGAGATCATTTCACGACTGAAGAGCAGGAGGTACTGTACCACACTCGATATATCAGCAGCATATCATAGACTTCCGATACACCCGGATTCTAGATACCTATTTAGTTTCACCCACGATCGATACCAGTAATCGTTTACATCGGCACCTTTCGGGTTGCACGTATTGACGCAACAATCCTGCTAGAGTGTAAGATGGTAGTCTTTGAATAAAGTATAATTGTATATCTTTATTTACAACCTCACCTTTGGTTTTATACTCAAGGTGTTTGTGCTAGTGTTCAACCGCTTGTGTTGGCCAGGGTGAAAACTCATATGGTCAGTATGAGAAACCTTTTGCAGAACACTTTAACACTTAGATATTGTTCTATAGCATAATCTCTGCTACTCGCTCTTACGCCGATCAATTAATGTTGCTTGGCTTTCAGAGCAATTCTCTCCTAGGTATCGGCTTTCGGAGCAATGCTCTCATAGGAGCAAATGTATTATTAACATGATGTGGTTAATAATTTGATCCGCTTTTCGGAGTGACACAACTCTTGTGATTTCATTCAAGAAAAGAGTTTTCTTGCTATTGAAACTTGCTTGAGATCTGTAGTCTCTCACTCTCCCTCGATTCTACAATTCTGAAGGGTCTGTTGTACTCAGTGCACTGTGAAGTTTGAAGTCGCAGAGCTGGATTGTTGAATTGTTAACTTTGTAGAATTTTCGGTAGGTTTTTTATATAAAAAAGTTGTCAACGCTGAGATTCTGAGACCTGTTGAATTTCAGAAAAGATGTTGCAAAGTACCACTGTAGTGTGTAGATACTAGGCATATCCGTGTACTTTTGACACATGACAGGCTTCACGACTTGCGTGGATTTTCTTCTGTTTAGAAACAGGTATCACGGGGTCGCAGGAAAAATAAAATTTAAAAATGGGCGGTTTTGGCAACAGGGGCCAGACAGTGTGAGAACTGTTTCGATGGTATGAATCCTTGGAGTAAGGTCCCTTCTGCGCCGTGGTTGTAATGAGACAAGGTTTTGTCTTCATGGAATGTGTTGATGATAAGCTGCATACTGTCAACACAAATCGGGCTAAAAAAATATTTGTTTTGGTCGAATCCACCAACAGAAATCGTTGTTGGATATAATTTTACCCAATTTAGGTTATAAAAAATAGAAGAAGAATAAAAAGATAAAAAAATAAACGAAAAAGAGTTCGGATCACAAATTTGACACACTGCTATGGAATAGTAGGATATACGTGCATAAAAACGTCCAATAATTCAGTGTTATTTGGACTATTCACTTTAAACTTGACTTTGGAATGCGGTATGGCGTAGAGTGCCTGCAACGTAAATATTCGAACTAGGACACTGTTGTTTTTGTCATATTCAGTGTTGCGTTACTGGCATCC